TGCTCCTCAACCAAATAATGTAACCAAACCATGAAGTCATGAGCATTCTGTAACTTTCATTCATGTACAGATCCCCCCAAACGCTTTAACTGATACCCTGTAAGGTCAGTGTACTGACCATCCTATGCTGTGAGACACAAGAATGGCATGCTAGTTGAGGGCACAGACTCTGAAGCATGTCTGTTCTGTGCGGTGCTGGGCTGGTTACTAAATCACTAGTACTGTGTCTGTTTCCCCAGGTGTGAAATGAGGACCACAACAATGGAACCTACTTTGAGAGGCTACTGTGAGGAGGAAATGTCTTTAGACATCTATGCTCTATTTAGAACAGTGCCTGAGATATAAGGGAGTACTAGCTGAGTGTTTAATAATACTGCATTTGACTTTTAAAAGGAAGCGAGTCCTAAGTGTGTCCGTGTCCCTCTCATGCCATGCCACATGCATTTGTCCTTCTCAGCTGACCTTGTCACCTCACTCCAAGAAATGCAATAATTTATCACATCTGGCCTATAGTGAAACTGAAACTAAAAAAAAAAAAAAAAAAAAAAAAAAAAAAAATCACAGCATCTTAGCCAACTCTCCATAGGGAAGTCTTGTCTCGAGGAGTGTTCATGGTCCCAGAAATAAGATTTGAACTGTTTTCCTCTCAAGTCAGCTAAGTGGATTTTAGTGTTCCGGATAGCCAGCTAACTGGCTCCAAACGGCTGGTTTCATTCCTCACTCCATGATGGCCTCTGGGAGATGATGCAAAAGTACCAACATCTCACCGAACTGCACAAATAAATATTCTGATGGAAAGCTTTTCTGGTCCACATTTTAAACTAAGTAAAACCAAACATGTGAGTACTAACAGTTCTTTAGAAAATTAAAGTATGTCCTAAAATATTTACTGTGAATATCACATGGTTAGAAAAGCTTCAAAATAGGGTTATGGCATCTAATTTATGCAATAAAAATCCATTGCTATTCTGAGGATAATTATTATCATTTTTTTAAGCAAAAAAAACAAAACAACTGTCAATCCACATGGTGGGTAAGGCAAAATGCAATCATTTATATTCAAATAGATTATTATCAGGAAAATGCTTTAGTTAGGCAAATTCCTTTTCTAGAGATTACAAATAACACCATTTGATGGGATTGTCTTGATTTCATTTCAAGATTCATCACTGACTCTAACCATTGCCTCAGGCAGTTCCAAATTTACCAAAAAAGTTGAACTCTTAAGTTGAAAATTATTACACGAGGCTTATTTTAACACCACAAATCAAGGCACTTTGTACTCATAGTGCTTTGTCTGGCTATGAGCCTAAGCCATGTGATACCATAGAAATCTGTTTTCTAAACAAATAAATGGAACTGAGGACATCTAATAACTGAGCTGCTGGCCATTTAGGGACCCTTTCATGGTCCATAACACTTGAGATTTTCTCTTGGACTCAAGCTATGTGGGTTTAGTTGGAATGCACCCCACTACCAGTCCCCTGCATAAGGTTTAATTGCCTCAAGAAGATCAATGTATAACACCCAGCTTCACCAGTGGCCATTGTGATTGGCTCAGGGATGGGCACACTAACCAATCAGGGCCAGCGATGACCTTTGTTAGGCATTCTGAGGAATAACTTTTCCCTCTTCCTTGTGTGAGCAACCAAAAAAAAGAAAGAACACACACACACACACACACACACACACACACACACACACACCTTCTCTCCTTAGAATGGAATCTCTCTTGCCGTTGAATGAGTGGTAGGAGAGTAGAGGTCGGGAAGTATGGTATCATGTTGATAAGAAGAAAAGAGATGTTGGAGGTGCTGGATGATGGTGATGGGGGGGTGGCCAGCACCCCAGGGAGCCTGACTTAGAAGACAACCCCATAGCCAAAACAGGTTTGGCTCAGTGGATAGAGCGTTGGCCTGCAGACTGAAAGGTCCTGGGTTCGATTCTGGTCAAGGGCATGTACCTTGGTTGCAGGCACATCCCCAGTAGGGGTTGTGCAAGAGGCAGCTGATCAATGTTTCTCTCTCATCGATGTTTCTAACTCTCTGTCCCTCTCTCTTCCTCTCTGTAAAAAATCAATAAAATATTAGAAGAAGAAGAAGAAGAAGAAGAAGAAGAAGAAGAAGAAGAAGAAGAAAAAGAAGAAAAAGAAGAAGAAGAAGAAGAAGAAGAAGAAGAAGAAGAAGAAGAAGAAGAAGAAGAAGAAGAAGAAGAAGACGACAGCCCCATAGAAGCCAGCCTCTTTAGGCTGGAGGTGGAGAGACCTGAGCTCTGGAGACATCCTGGGAACTTTTGGATCAAGCTTCATTTAAACTGGTCAGAACCCTGGACTTTTCAACTACTAAGTCAATACATTTCTTGCAACATTTGTCAATCTGGATTGGGTTTTTCTGTTCCTTGCAACATAAAGAGCCCTAAACAAGGCAGGCAAAACAGCCTGGCCTGGATAAGAACATTTGGGCCCCAGAACCAGTGTCGGGGAGCTCCATGGTGCTACCTCCATCGTGATGGCAAACGGGAAGGAAACGAGCCACAGGCAGCCTGTCAGCCAGGGACACAGACAGCTGGGAAAGTCAAGGGTCGCTTCCCTGGAGAAGCCAAGGAGGAAAAGGAAAAAAAGAGCAAAAAAGACATAGCCTGCTCAAGCATGCCAGCGAGAAGCCCAGGTGGCCATTACTGTTTTTAAACAATGACTAAATAGCAACTAGGTACTTGTGAATTAGAGGCTGCCTGATTCTCAAAACTGGTTGGCAAGATAATTATAAAAAGTTTTCCAGTTAATGGGGGAAAAAATGGTCATCAATGGAAACTACAGTCTCCATCTTTTAAAGAAGATTGGTTATTTTTAATGCTGATAAAATAGATTTACTTTGTAAAAAAAGAAAAGAAAAAGAGCATGAGAGTGTCTGTTTTTAAGGTTAGTCTAATCAGTGGATGCTACACAACAGTAAACCAGTTTTTAAAATAAGCACTATATTTGTTCACTTGTCATTTCTGAGAATCACATTCAATGAATAATAATTTTGTTAAACTCTAAGGGTCACATTCAAATGTTTAGCCTTGATTTTACTATTAGACCTGAGATATTTCCATGTGCTTGCTCTTATCCACACAGTGTTGCTCTGCCTTGGTAATAAAATGGAAAGGAAATAGAATGAGACCTGGGGGAAAGGAAAACATTTCTTTAGGTTGTTATGAAAGAAAAAAGAAAAAAAAGAATATCCTTTCTTTGTCCATTCTGAACTCAGAAATCTATTTTTTCTATATAATACTGAAATATTTAACAATTCATAAAAAACTAAGTATTTGCATTAAAATATAACTTTAAACACTGCCCTGCAACTTTTACCAGGAACCTTGTAATAGATGGTGAATACACATGCATGAACGCTAAAACAAGAAAGGCCATTCAACATTCACATGGAAAAGCAGCATTACATACAATATAATAAATATCCAGGAAATCAAATCCACAAGTTGATCATTATTCTGCTTTAGATTCTTTTTTTTTTTCAGTGAAGACTTTCTACACTGTATAATTTATTATAATAACTTTACAAGTTAAACATTTAATTAAAAACAGAATTTAACTAATCTGACTGCTGAAATAACACAACCCTCCATGTTCTGCAGCATATTTTAAACTATAATACTTATAAAACTGATAGTTTGGCAAGAAATACACATCCATATAACTAACTGCTCAATTAACTTCTATATATATATATATATATATATATTATAAAAAGACAGAGTTGATAGTATGAAGAAAAACAGAAGCTAATATTAATATTATTTCTGAGATAACTTTATCGCCTTAGCTCTTGGGCTTTGGCAATGCATGTCTTAAATTTTAATATATATCATATAATTTAAAAACTGTATTTACAAAATATAAAACTTTTTAAAGCAAAAAACTATACAAAATACTGTTTTTATACGTGTAAAGGGTGCTTTATCTTTAACTTCCCACGTGCTTTCAGGATCCCTCCCTTGGGCAGCAATTCCGAGCCGGGTTTTTACTAATAGCAACTGGTCTACGGTTACACTCTGAAGCTGAAGATCGAAGATGACTCAGTACCTTACTGAGATTTATCTAGACATTCTCCTTATTGAAATTCATTTAAAATCCAAATTATACAAAACCCACGTTGTTAAATCGTGATTCTTTCCTTTTGTCACTAAACCTAGCAAACACTCTTTAGGGATATTGTATCACTTATGAAATTCTCTTTCATCGCCTTTCTTCTGAAATGAAAGAAAGCACCTGCCATTTCTGTTACCTTTTCAACATCCGTTTCTGTGCACAGACATGTAACGTGATTTCTTCATCTAAAACGCTGAGAGAGCCCTAGCTGGTTTGGCTCAGTGGATAGAGCATCAGCCCTCCGACTGAAGGGTCCCAGCTTCGATGCTGGTCAGAGGCGCATGCCGGGGTTGCAGGCTCAATCCCCAGAAGCGGGTGTGCAGGAGGCAGCCGATCAATGATTCTCTCTGATCTTTGATGTTGCTATCTCTCCCTCTCCCTTTTCTCTCTCTCTCTCTCAAATCAATAAAAATATATTTAAAAAACCAGAAAATTAAATGCTGAGAGAATAAATGAGATTCACCTGTACGCTCCTGGCTGCTATAAGAGGTGTGTCTTTTAAAAATGACCCACCGTCACCCACCCCTATGGAGCTCCATAACTGAGTCCCAAGGTCAAGGATCTTATCCGACCAGGTCTACTTCTACAGGAAGGTTCTTTCCCGTTCTTTCTTGTCTAGGAGACACATGATGATCTTCCTTGCAGGTCACTATATGTACTAGCATATATTTCCCAGATCGCCAAATTAGGAGCCCCAAACTCGTGGAATCCCCCCACATCCACATGCTCAGTGTGGGGTTGGACACCCACCAGGCACAGGGCACTCTGGGGGGCAGAGTGGACCGCGCTGGGCCTGCAGAGTGGCGCTCCCCTGCGGCCAGCGAGGCGTGCTGCCCGCGGCCGGTCGGCGCGGCTACTTGCAGGTGTGGACGTCGGTCATGCTCTCGCACCTCCTGCAGCGGACGTAGCAGCACCAGATGAACTTGCACTCGCACCTCTCCACGTGCCTGACCACGTGGGTGTTGTAGCCGCGGCCACAGCAGAGGAGGTTGCAGCCGCCCGCGCCCTCCGACGTGCGGTTGCACTCTCGGCCCTGCGTCCCCGGGATCCCCAGTTTCTTGTCCTCCACGCAGTAGTTGGGGGACTTGTGGACGTAGAGCAGATCCTCCTTGCGGATCGGCACTTTCCGCTGGTCCTTGTCTCGCCTGCGCATCTTCCTCTTTACTTTGTCCGAGACCTGAACGCTGTGCTCGTATTTGTCCTTCAGGAAGTGGCCGATCTTCTCAAAGGAGGACATGGTTTTCCAGCAGGTCTTCACGGCGCAGGAGCCGGACACGCCGTGGCAGCGGCAGTCCACCGACATCAGCTTGGCCACAGCCTGCAATCGACAGGAACTGAGTTAAATATCACTCAGAAGGCGTGTTTTACTCAATAGTAGGCGCAAACTCACCTCATCACTTCGCAGCCTGGGTCTGTTTCCTCTTGTATGAAAAACAGGTGGTTTTGAACATAAAGGAGCTGCCAGACTGCTGAGCGATCAAATGTTTTGTCCTTCTCTGGACCCTAGCAAACCTTTCCAAGTTAAATTTGAGGTAGTGGGCCAGGCTCATGTTGTTATTAGAGACTATCTGAGATAACACAGGAAAACGACTTTTATTCGCGATTATCTTGTTTAATTTGGGGTGTGGGGGGGATGTTCACCCATGCCTCCATATTCCTATTACATTTAGCATCTTGCTACTCAGAGTGTGGTCCATGGACCAGCAGCGCCAGTATGACCTGTAAGAAATGCAGAGTCTCGGAATCAGAATCCACGTTTTATTTAGATCCTCGGGTGAGCCAGATGCACATTAAAAGTTGAGAAGCACTGATATAGGGAAGTCATCCTCAGCTCACATTGTGCAGGGACACATCTGCGGAACCTTACAGATAACCAATGCTCAGACCCTGGGATTCAGATTGCATCGGTGAGGTGGGGTCCAGGTGCTGGTTTCTACAAAGCGGCTCAGGATTCTATTGGGCACCAAGGGATGAGACCTGCTGACTGGGAGTTCTTAGGTCGGCTCACTGTAAACGCCGGGCAAAAGAATAAGGGGCCAAAGGGTGTGATTTTCCAGAAAATCCTTCCTTTCATCTGGAAAATTAATTCAAAACATACGTCACATTCTTTTAAAAAAATATATGTTATTGCTTTTTTACAGAGAGGAAGGAAGAGGGATAGAGATTTTAGAAACATCGATCAGCTGCCTCTTACACACCCACTACTGGGGATGTGCCCACAATTAAGGTACATGCCCTTGACCAGAATCAAACCTGGGACCTTTCAGTCCATAGGCCGAGGCTACATCCACTGAGCCAAACTGGTTTTGGCCGTCATATTCTTGATGGGTCAGTAGTACCATCCTAACATAGAAAGGAGATAGTATCTATATGATTTTTTCAATTTTATGTGCTGAGTTTCATTTATACTCAGCACATAGAATTAAATGAGATTACATAGATCACCGCCTGGCACACATTAAGATCTAAAGGAACTGTCTGTGAAGAAGGTACAGTAAGACCGAGGATAAGTTTCAAATAGGGCTAACAGTGCAAAAAACAATATAGAGACTTCAAAAGTGTTAGGGTTCCAAACCTCTTACATACCAGGCTAGTCAGCACGGCTTCCTTCCATCTCCAGAGGATGGCAGAGCAGATTAATAAATTGTCAGGGCTAGCTGCAGAGTTGACGTCTGTCAACATGCTGGGTGAAGTGAAAAATTTGATCTACCCATTCAATAACTTGGAAATTGTGTGTGTAAGCTCACCCAAGAAAGTAAAATCTCACAGCTTAAATCCCACTTACAGTTCTTATCCAAACTATAACATGACAGAGCTTTATACTTAGCCATTTATTTTGTTCCAAACATGACATTGATATGTTTGCGGGAATGTTACATTTCCTAATACATTATCCAAAGTTTCTGAACTATCTAACGAGACAGAATATTTCAAACAAATTATAATATTTGCAACTTGAATGAGAGCATATGGTATTGATTTATGCAATATTTGATACTTCTGACTGGTGTTTAAAATAATAAACAGAATAGTATTTTAAGCCCTGTTCTTTATAGACTGCAGCGCACATGTTCTTTTTGAATTCACAAAACTGAGAAGTTAATGGACATGTCTACTTCTTATTAATTCAGGTGAGAAGGTATCTTTCAATGATATAAAAGCAACAAGTATGGCACAAAAGCACATTTGATCAAACTTATGGCATTTGATATTCACAAAGCCTTCAGTGCTTTAAAATGTTGAAACGAATGCAATCTGTCTACTTCTGTTCAGGTTTTAAGTGCCCTAAGGACATGAGGGGGGAAAAAAGGGCTCAACCAAAACTAGGTAATAACCAAACAAATTGCCCGAAGAAAGCCAAAAGTCCAAGGATTACATTTATGTGTTTAAACCTGATCAGCGTTCCTCACAGTCATCACCTCGTGATTTACAGCTGCCCTTGGCTCGGTGTCATGACTGAAAAGCTGACTTTTTCTTTTATTAACCAGTTCAAATAACATTCTGCAATTTGCAAAGCATAGCAGACAGAGTAGATGCTCTCCAAATATTTAATGAATAACTCGTCCAACTCACTTAAACAGTTTTAATTCATCCTCTCTTGGTAATCTGAATTGGGAGGTAGTAAGAAAAAGCACCTTTTTAAAACAAAAGAGCCACTGCTGGGAGGCCAATGGTGTGGGAAGACCTTGATCCGATGCCACTGTCAGTCCACAGCACTGGTAGCCCAAAGGGGCAATACGCTACTTTATAGGTTTGGAGGACAAACAGACTGACTTTTAAATTTAATGGTATAACCTGCTGAATCTCAGACAAAATTTGGGGGGAATTTTCCTGCCATAGGAAACTAGCTGAGTTAAATATCTGGAGTTAACTATAACTTTTTAGGAGTGACGTTTTAAAGAACTTGTATTTGATTACTTTTGAATTCTATTATCTTTTTGTCCCTAACAAAAAGTATAAAAAAAAGAAATAGGGATTTTGTCTTAACATACGCATATTTTAGACAAGAAAGACAAATAAACTTCAAAGAGGAGAATCCCAATAACTTGACATGCGATGTAAATGATTATATCCCCGTAATACTCTCAGGAAGAAACTCGGACAATAGGGATTAAAATAAAGCAATCGAATCACCACTACAAGAATTTGACGAAAGGCAGAGTTTAGAGGCAGACATACACACACACACTACACACACACATACTACACACATACACACACACAGTACACACATACACACACACACTTCACACACACACACACACACACACACACACACACACACACACTAGAGCTTAGTGCTTCTCGGAGCACCTTTCCATAGATGATTTTACTTAATTTAGTTTTATCGGAAGAAATGTAGGTAATTATGAACATGTACTCATTATTCCAATTTTACAGAAAAACAAAGTGTGGCTAAGATAGTTGTCATTCATAAGGAAAGCTTGATGATACATGGTATAAAATCTGTATATGAAACTGGATCATTTTAGTAAAAGAGAGAAAAACCTAAGTGGAAAATGCAAGTATAGTTAATAAAATTGCATGAAATTCAAAAATATATATATATTTTGGAGATTTTCAGCAATTAAGAGTATTAATTAATGTTAATAGCTATTCTTCAGTGATAGCATTGTCATTTTGCGTGGAACAGGAAAAGTAAGAGAGTAGCGACCAAATGAGTTGTGTGTGGTTATGAGAAAATTCCTTTCTCTACTCTAGTTGAGTTGTTAAGGTTTATAACGATATTAACAGAGGAATGTTTTGTTAACTATTGCAAACAGATGTGCACATTTTGGTGGAATATTTTTAACTATGGGAGAACAATTAGGAAGGGAACATTTAATCTACTGGACTCCTTCGTGTTAAGTTCCGGTTTGATACGTTTCTACTGAAGTGACATACGAAAAGTGTATCATTAATGCTTAAAGGCAAAAATAGAAAATGTTTGAGAAGTGGTCGAAGGAGTGATTGGTCCCACAATTTTAACTCAGGTAACACGGCAGGCTGTGATTTTTTTTTTTTCTCAATATATTGCTCTACACAAACTTCACAGAAATGACCAAAAAACTGTTGTAAAACATTTCATGCTGAGCATTTCATTTTGTCAATATTAGATGATTTCAGTTTTTATGAAAACTGTAACATAAGATTGGATGGGTATAGGTAGAATATCTATTCCCCTGACCCCTTTCATGCCATATAGTCCAAAAATATACTTGAATCTGCTGAAAAGCAAAACACTTATGTGTTGTTCAAGTACTTATAAATATTCTTGAAACAGGTCAATGAAAATTTGGGGTTGAGCCCTTCCCACTTTTTTGAGTTAGTCATCATAAAACAAATTATGGGGTAGGAAAACTTAAAAGTTTATGAGGTGGACATGGGAAGAATGGAAATATTTTAAGCACACCAAAAGAAATACCCATAAATATTCTAAGTCACATTATTCCCAGAAGTTCTGCCCCTGGAAGACATCACATCATTCCGTTAGCCAATCACCATCCAGCAACATTATTCTTGGAGTCATAACTTTAGGAATGGTGTCAGGAACCAAGTGGGAATTTAAGGTCAGCGGTTAGAAAACCATCTATCCTACTCACAACACTACTAAGCGCCAGTACCCACATTTCTCTGAACGCTTTTCGACATTTGGAGTTGGGATTTTGAGACGAGGGAAATCAACTCAATTGAATGCAGACCTTGAACTTGACTCAGAATGTGCCTATAATTTAAAATCCTATTTGACAGTATTGAAAATGAAGTTGATCGTTCTTCCATGTTAGATAATAACCTGGAAACCTGGTTAGTTTGTGGTGGTGGTGGTGGTTTTTATTCTTTTGGCCACCAAAAGAAAGAAAAATACAAAAATGCTTTCAATTGTAATACTTTATGAGAAAAGACCAAAAAAACACCAGTGTAATACCTTTGAAATATCCAGGTAATATTTTTTTAATAGTTTAAGTTTCTATCTATTTCAGCAATTTTCAACCCTTTTCATCTCACGGCATACATAAACTAGTAACCAAATTCTTCAGTACACCAAAAAATACATTTTTAGCCTGTCTGACAAGAAAATAGGTATAATTTTGATTTATTCACACTGCACAGCAATTGTGTTGGCTGTTGTCATTTTAAAAAAATTGATAATCTAAGGGAAAAGAGGTCAGTGCCCCTGACTAAATCGTCAGGTATTTAATGTTTTAAAAACTCTTGCGGCACATCTGTTGAAAATCACTGACTTAGAATAACGTGAAAAAAATTTAGTAGAGGAAGTTTAATTTATATAAAATGTGTATAACTGAATAAATGAAATTATTTTCTGCATAATTAAAGTAATAGCAAAACCTAGGAAATGTGAGAAAATGTTTGTTTGTTTTTTTGGCCAAAAATGAATTAAAATTGATGCTGAATAGTTGTATTATATGTTTAATAAAATTAGAATATAAAAACTAGCTTAAGATCCAAATTAACAGTTACAAAAGCAAATATTGTTACATAACTTAAAAATTCACACAAAATGGAATAAAACTCAATAGTTGCCTATTACTAATAAAATACATTTTAGAGACTTTACGACACTTCATATGTTCAGAGATGACTTCATTAAAGAGATCATAATTTGAGTTTCTGAGTTTTGTTTACTAGTTAAAAATTTTAAAATCTCTAACAATTTAACAAATATTTAAGGTTTAAATTAATAATAAACATTATTTAATTGTTTTCTTATTTTTAAAATATATTAATTTGATTTACTTTGATGCTTTTTTCTTGCTTAACTCAAGTTTTAAAGGACATTTGTTAACCACATTTAACCTCTTTTATATTAATAATTAACATTATCTAATAAAAATTAGATAATATTTAAATTGCAGCAAAAATGAATTCATTTTTAAAATATAAAACTTTAAGGAAAAGATACATATGCATAACTATGGTGTTAAGGAAGAGTGACTTTATGAGGCAAATTAGCTTTTAAAATTCTGAAACAAAAACAAAAAGTTTACATAATTATTTACTAATTTCCTATTTTGCAACTTAATTAAACATTGAAGTTGAATTGAAATTTTGATGTGTTACGATGATAGAGTTACTGAGCTTTCTGTCTTTGTATTTTTTTAAATATACTTTTTTGATTTTTTTACAGAGAGGAAGAGAGAGAAATAGAGAGTTAGAAACATCAGTGAGAGTTATAGACCAGCTGCCTCTTGCATGCTCCCTACTTGGTATGTGCCCGCATCCAAGGTACATGCCCTTGACCAGAATCGAACCCGGGACCCTTCAGTCAGTATGCAGGCTGACGCCCTATCCACTGAGCCAAACCGGTTTTGGCTGTTTTTGGAAAGGAAAGGAGAGGGAGAGAGATAGAAACATCAATGATGTGAGAGATCATTGATTGGCTGCCTCCTGCATGCCCCAAACTGGAGATGGAGCCCGCAACCCAGGCATGTGCCTTGACCTGGAATTGGGTTCTGACCTCCTGGTTCATAGGTCGACACTCAATCACTGAGCCATGCCAGCTGGCTTTCTATTTTAAACCAAAGTGGTTAATAAAGAAAACTGGCTGAAACTCTCAACTATTCTGACTGGGTTCCATTTATTCACTTTCCAAAAATGTGAAAAAAAACCAAAAAAAAAAAACCCGGCAACAGATACTTTAAATATTCATGAGAAATACTGAAACTTGTTTTAATTTATTTCAGGAGAGGGTAGCAGGTTGAAATGATACTATGGCACTTGTATAGGTTACTGGGCATTTACAGTAGTATATGATGTGTGCTGATATTCCTGTCCTGAAAAGATTATTATAAGATAGAAAAGATATATTTATAAAAAAAAAAAAAGTTTTGGCTATTTTAGGAAAGTCACTGTGAATTGCCAAGTAATTCAACTGTGGTGTTGAACTCAAATTTTATTGTGTTGCTATTTATTACAGTAAATATAGAAAAGTTAAATAAGCTACAAACTTACTCCATTTTAAGAAAACCTAGTATTAAAAAAGCCAGAATCATAAAAGAAGTTAATTAGACAGTGGTACTTCAAATTTGCTTCCTGCTGAAATATATCTATAATTTCAAATATACACATATTTAATACATCTAGAGCTTCTCTACAGTTATTTGTAGTTATCAATTTTACAATGGATCGACATAGCTTTAAAAAAAATGATTCCCTTTTAAAAACCTTGCTTTAAAAAAAGATATTAGTTAAGTATTGTGTATTCCAAAGGTATTTAAGAATGTTTGCTAGAGAAAGTGAGGGTAAAACAGACAACAGGAACCACTGCTCACTAAAAGTAGATGTAAAAAAGCAATCAAAGTCCAATTGAGGAAATTCGATCCAGTCCCATAAGAAGGGCAGGTACTGTATATAGATCTTACTCAGGCTCTGCCCCTAATCAGCTAAGGGGGTGGAACCAAGGAACCCACCAGGCACTTATACCTCTATGATTTTATAATTAACATTTCAGGCATATGAAGTATAGAATCACAAATACATTCTATAACAAGACTGAACTCATCTTAGATGGAGAACTTAAAGCTAAATCAATGCGGTCAGTACAGGCTCATGAAAAAAACACATATGGATAGATTTACAGTCCTACACACTTAGCTAAACATAATATACATACATATAAACACACATATTTCTTAGACTGCAGGTATGGTTTGTTTTTAAACCATTTGGACAGTTTCATGAACACGTATCGTCCTTGTCATAGGCACCTGAAAGCAATGGGTTTTATGCCACTTCCTACCACATACCTGCCTTCCAGCCTCATTGTTGTGCAGGTTCATCGCTGACAGCACTCTGCTCTCCTTGCCCGTGGCGTTTCGGAGGGGGACGTCCAGGAACTTCCTGCTGAACCACATGCCGTACTGGACGTCGTCGGAGCAGCCCCCCCAGTGCCAGCCTTCGCTGGCCGAGCCCCCGCCCTGCAAGGTGGTGTCGCAGGAGCACTCGGTCATGTTGCCTGCGCTGCAGGACCGGGTCACCGCGTGCACCAGGCCCGCAGCCATCACCGCGTAGATGAACGCCGTTTCCTTGGTGCCTAGAACAAAACGTGAGTTGCGAAATGAAAGAGGCATACCACTCTCTGTTTATGTTCGTAACGGAGCCTCCTCCTCATTCTCTTGTCAGGGGAGCAATTTGTCAATGAACGCTTTAAGGAGTGCATGTTTTGAAAGGATGATTTCCTATTGTAAGTCTTTTAAGAAAGCAGCATTCATTTTGAGTATCCTTTCCTATATTGGTTATTCTCAGACCAAAAAATATCTAAAATAGGAAATTTATGTCGGCACCTAGTTCACTGCCTAGTAGACAATCAAAGCCCAAAAAAGACATGTCAAATTTAAAATCCTTTGCGTGGATACCGGAAATGGTATGCAATGCCCCCAAAAAGTCCAGATCACCTTTCTTTCAAAATTTAAAATGTGTTCTCACGAAACACAAGCTGAAAAATTTGGTGCAGTTTTGTTCCCATGAGTAATGCCTACCAGAAAGCAAATCAAAATTAAACCAAGACGGAAGCGATTGGGTGATAAATGATACAAGTTCAGTTTCACGTTCGAGACTCTCCTCTCTTTAGAATATCATGAAAAACAATCCTGATATCCACATGAAACCATTATACATTTTATATGGCACTCGCTAACCCTTTGACAGGCTTAACGATCATTAGAATGAAAGACAATGGAAATGTCACCAGCAAAAAAAAAAAAAAAAAAATTGTTAAGGAAAATAATTGGATCTGTATTAGCACACCAGCAATAGCGTTTGAAAATCAAAGGCCCATTAAAGCACCCATAAAACGGACTCAAAGAGACTCCGCGGGAGACTTTTTTTCTTTTTCCTTTGGAGATGTTTACATTGGAGTAGAAACAGTTTCGCGCCCGTCGTCCAATAAACCTTTTCAACAGCTGATGCCCCTGCATGTCAGCTGCTGGGAAGGACACATCCTTTTTTATTCCCCCCGCGGGGGGTCGGGCTCCTTCGGAAGGGCGCGCCGGCCAGATCGCAGCAGGGCCGAGGCCAGGCTGGGGCGGCTGCGCCTGCAGGAGCCGGTCGGGAGGGGCCAGAGGTGCAGGGAGAACGGGAACCAGTGTGTACAGCAACCAGTCTCCCAGCGCCCAGGCCCTAGATTCCTTGCATCTGCTAATACTCCCGGAGCACCTCCGCCCCCCGGGTCCTGGGTCCTCACCGAGCCTCCTGCGCGCGGGAGTGAACTTTATGCGCCGCAGCCTCCCGCGCCCGGCTGAACGTAGAGCAGGGGGAGCGAGGCGATCGCGCTCTGGTTAGGGGCACGTTGGGCTGTCTAGTTGGATCCCTTTTTAAAAAATCACCTTATTCCGTCTCCCCGGGGCTCCCAGGAGCCACCAGACGCGGCACTGAGCCGTTGGTCCAGGGCCCGGCGCGCAGCGGAGCAGCTCAGCCCCCAGCAGCTGCGGCCGCGGCATTCCCGGCCGCCGACATCATCCTGTTTCTCCAGCTGGTCCCCCAGGTAGGGGGGCGCCGCGGGCCCGAGGGGTCGGCGGGGTTCAGGGTCAGGGTTTTTCCTCCCCTCCAGCCGGGCCCAGCGGGAAGGAGGAGGAAGGACTCCGGCTCCGAGAGCGAGAGCCAGGCTCGGACCTGGGGACTCATCCTCTCCTCTCCCCCCCCCCCCCCCCCATTCCCGGGACCGCACCTGCACCCCCGGGGTCTGGCTCCCGGCGCCCGTCCACGCAAGGACCTCTTTGGGGGGATGTAGAGAGCGTCGGGACCAAACAAGCACGATTTCTTTATTTTACGGGAGTTGAAGGAGGGCCCCCCCCCCCCCCCCCGGGGTCCCGGGACTCACCGCTGCTCAGCTCGTAGCCGAAGGGGGCGCCGGCGGCGGGGGCGCGGCAGTCCCAGCGCTCGCGGCGGAACTGGCGGCGGCACTCCTGCACGCCCAGGCGCGCGCCCTCGCGGATGCTGGGCAGCAGGTAGGGCTTCCTCCGGCACAGCTCCTTCTGGCGGCTGCTGAGCGGCAGGTTGGCGCAGCCCAGCTTCTCGGGGACCCCGAAGGAGGCTATGCCCAGCCACCTGTAAGAAACAGCCGCCCCCCGTTTGCACATTGCTCTCCTGCCTGCTCTCCTCCCCCAATCCCAGATGTTTCCCCCCTTTTAGCTCATCCGCCCCAGGGCCACCGTCTTGGGGTCCCCTCGCTTTGGGCTGAAAGTTCGCTGAGGCTGGGCACCCCAAATGCCACCCACCCCGTGCACTCCCATTACCTCCCCCCATCCCAATACTCACATCCAGTTCCCTTGGGCCCCGCAGGGGAACAGCGCGAGCAGGGCTGCCCACAGCGCGCACAGGCGGGACAGTCCCCGGAGCGCCGCCGCCCGGCCCATGGCCCCCGCATGGGCTCCCGCAGCCCCCGCCGCTCCTCTCCGGCCCTCCCCGCCCCGAGAGAGGCCCGCCGGGCCAGAGGTCAGCTCCCCGGCACCGAGGGCTCCCCCGCTGCCTGCCTCCCCGCCGACAGCATACAAGGGAGGCCAGGAGCCGGAGGGGCTCTGGCGGCCTCCCCTCCCGCGCGGGGAGCAGGGTGAGGAGGCGGGGGAGAGGGCTGGAGGCTGCAGACGTGCGGGAGGTGCGGGAGCTGCCCTCGCATTCCAAGGTGAGAAGCTGCTGTTGATGTAGCTCAGCCTCCATCGCCCCCGGCCTCCCCTCCCCTCTCCTCCCCTGCCCTCCCCCGGGGCCGCGCGGGGAGCCTGATTGGTCCAGCCGCCGCCCCGCACGCCCCCAGCCCCAGGCCTCGGGCTCCCATTGGCGGAGAGCGGGCTCCGCGGGGGGCGCGGGCGGCAGGTCTCCCGCAGACCCCGCTGAGTTCAAGACCTTCCCGGGTCCGAGCGGGTTTCTGCAGCGGGAGGTGCAGTGAGCTCAGCCCCAGGGCTGGTGGGGGCGCTTCTGTCTCCGCAGCCCCGGGCCAGGGCGGGGGTGGAATGGGAGATGTTTGCGTTCCACCCATCCCGTTGCCTCGGGATTAATTACCCGCCGGGTGGAGCGCTGGAAAATCTCACTGCCCCCGTTCCTTCCCCCCTCCTGCACCTCACAGGAGAATCATCTTTTCGAGTCAGAGTTGGTACCAAACAAGTTGACCTTTCAGCACCCAGCTGGAGGTCCCATTGCGTCAGGAAGCTTTGGAGGACAGGACAGGGGAAAGGCCTTCGGATGGGGACCGACGTCAGCTCTGCAAGCACTCCTTTTCAGCGAAAGGAAGGGTGCAGTCTGGCCTCCCACCTACCACATTCATCCGGGGTTGCATGATTTCCTTTCCTGGGTTTGTCTTCCATTCCCCATCCTGGAAAGCACTGTGGGAAGGTGGAAGGCAAGAAGTCTGGAGGGTTCTAGAACAGTGGGGAGCTGTGTCCTGACCCTCTGCCCCAGTCCCCATTGTGGCTGTCCTGGACACTTTGGTCAGGGCTACAACTGAAGGCAGATTTTAAAAACATACTTACTAAACACCTCCCCTGTGGCCAGGAAGGTCTGTGGGACATTATAAAGACCAGATCCCTTCCCTTGAGGGCACAAACCAGCCATGGAGAGGAGATTCTAGGCTCAAGAGCTGCAGTTTGCCGCTCTGTTGACTGAGCTTAGCCATCCCTGGCCTAGGACAAAATAACTGGAGATGGCTGGTAAAGCAGAGTATGAAACCCAGCCAGGTCCTTGCTGGAGCCAAAGAGGCCCCGGAGGCAGAAGGTCATGGTGCCTGGCCGTTCAGGAAGGCTAGTTAGCCGGCATTCTGCAGCCTCTGGGGAACTCTGAAGGCAAGCGGGACATTCTTAGCTGTGGTGTGGGAAAGCCCTGCTTCCCACAGTGGGTGACAGGAATGCTTTGCAATGTCATCACCTGCTCCTCAGAGGACTTATGAAATGTTTGTAAATTCTCAGGTGAACATAACAGCTTACCCAAATAAAAAGTCTTACTTGTTTTTGGCTAAGGGACTGTCTGTCCGACTGGCCGGTAGGTATGATGCGCACTGACCACCAGAGGGCAGATGCTCAATGCAGGAGCTGCTAAGCTGTGGTGACTTCACAGCGGTGGTTCTACAGTGATGCACCCTGGAACCAGAGAGGAGGAAGCCCAGTAACTGGTGGGGCCACAGGATTTCACCAGGCTACGGGGCCCCACCTGCTGAAGGGACCCCACTCACTCCACAGAGGCCCTTTGAACCATGGTGCTGTCCCAGGTGCAGCAGGCCGGGAAGGGACAGCGGGAGGTTGGCTCCAGGGCGTGTCGGGCCCTACTGGTCACCTTCTAATTAATTTCCTTTCAACTTGCACGAATCAGTGCAGAGGGTCACTCATCTTCAAATAAAGGATTTAATTTGCTGCCTATCTCCTGTATCAGCCCAGAGCAATAAAAGCTCACTAAAACTCCCCTCCTATCTATCCCATTCATTCCTTTAGTCAACAAATATTTATTGAGTGAATACCATGTACTAGCGAGCCACATTGTAATTTTTAGAGTCAAGTTGATGATAGGGTGTAGTTACTGCTTTAGAAATATTTTGGTGCCTGGCTAGTGGCCTCTCTGAAACTCAGAGTCTTCATCCAAGCTCACTTTATTCCAGGAGGCGTCCTGGAGCATTCCTGCTGTACTCCCACCCCTGGGCCCAGTGCACGGGATCCTGGTTTTGAACACAGTTTATTGAGTGAATTAACATGACGAGGAACATTCTGAGCAGAGAGCTAAGTGGCCGACATGCTGAAACTAGAGAAGTGATTGCTTTGTCAGGGGACTGGAGGAGGGAGGAGAAAGCAATCTTGGGACCGGGAGAGTACAGAATAGTAATACTCTAGGCTGATTTTAATGGTAGATGTTTTAAAGAAGTTGTTGTTGTTGTTGTTGTTGTTGTGTGTGTGCGTGTGTGTGTGTGTGTGTGTGTGTGTGTTTAACTGAAAAAAATATATTGAGCCTCTATTATGAGTTAAAAAGTGGGGAACAAAATAGCTATCTTGTAGCGGAGTTCTCAGTCTGGCTGGCAAGACAGAAAGTGAGCAGGCTATTGCAGTACAGTGTGATAAACGGGAAGTACAGCATGCTGTAAGCCACGTAGCGGGATTACTTAATCTAGTTTGGGAGTGGGGTCCTTTGAATGCTGCCTTCGTTATTTCTCTAGGAATCCAGTCCTGTCCAGACAGGCATTCCGATAAAGCATTTAGAGAGAACGCCGAGTATTCTGTTCCTACTGTCCAAGAACACTAGGCCAACCATTTTCAAATCCAAGGCACAACTTCAGGGCCCAGTGGTGCTGTTTCTCTTTTGCATAATCTATGGCCGTTGGAGCATTCTGATACTCCTAAAGCAAAGGAGACTTATTCCCAGGAGTTGATGCAGCTGAAGAAGAGGGCTTTTCACTAAATGAACAGATGTCTGAGTCCCAGTTGATGCAGCTGAAGAAGAGGGCTTTTCACTAAATGAACAGATGTTTGTGTGGGCATTATGAACCTTCACGCACTGAGACCCTTGTATGTGCTCCCAGAGTTCCTTCTGATTTTCTAGCTCTGTCCCTCTCCTTCCTTCCAGTCTTCTCTAGTCTTCTTTAGTTTTCTCTCCTCTCACCTCCCCTTCCTTCTCTCTCTTCCCTCCCTTCCCCTCTCTCTCTTCCCTCCCCTTCCCTCTTCTCTTCTCTTCTCTTCTCTTCTCTTCTCTTCTCTTCTCTTCTCTTCTCTTCTCTTCTCTTCTCTTCTCTTCTTCTCTTCTCTTTTCTCTTCTCCCTCCCCCCCCTCTCTCTTTCTCTCTCTCTCTCTTTCCAAACACACATTATATATAAAGAAATGAATTTAAATAAATTAAGAAACTTGCTCAAGATCACTCAGCAAGAAAGTAATAGAATAAAAAGAATCTTACTTTAGAGGTCTTATTCTTTACAATGTAACATACTGCTACATAATCTAAATCAAATTCTTTTTTTTTTTTTCCTAATCAAATTCCTGATCACTGGGCCTCAGGGTCTAAATTTCTTGTTTGGATCCCATGGTTCTTTACACCACAGTTCACAGATATCTCCTTCAGTCTTCTGTTCCCTGACACTAAACCAAATGCATATATTTTCGTTATATATATATATATATATATATCCTCTATTGTGAGTTTAAAAGTGAGGAATAACATTGAGCTAAATGGTAGTGAAGTGCACAGCCTGGGTGGGTCTCCTGAGGAGGTCTCCCTGAGACAGATGGCGGTCTGCATGTACGCCCTTTCATATCCCCTCTCCCCCGACCCGCTAACTACTGTCTATGGGTTGAGAGGATCAGGGGAAGAGCTGTGTGTATGTGGTGGGGAGCACTGCATTGGTAATGGCTTTGCACTCCTAGGAAGAGGAAAGCATAGGCATTAACAAGGGTCTGTCTACCTGTGAGAGGGACCCAGTTCTCAGGTGGCACAGGCTAGCGTTTTCTGGCCTCATCCTGTATCTTTGGTTCCACTTTTGCTTTTGGGTTTCAATTAAAATAAATTCTTTTCATTGCCGAAACCTCTTTAAATGTTTGGACTAGAAAGTGTATTATAATAGTGTCAGGTGTAAAATATGACATTTTATTTAGAGGACAAAAGAAAATGTGACGTTACAGATACTTTCTTTATCCTGGACTACGAAAGTGAGGCGCTCTTTCAAAATCTTTTCATACTCAGTGCTTCACCTCCACTGGCACTGGTGAGGCAGTGTGGTTTACTGAGCCTGGAGAAACACAGCAAATAAGGGGTCAGATCCAAACCCAGTCACAGTTACACATGTCGGATTGTTAACTCTTCAAGCGAGATATCCCTTTCTACTTATTATTTTTTACTTCATATTTGGAAAGAGGGCAAAACATTAACTGGCCAGTAGGATTCGACCTGATGCTTCCTGTGCGATGCAAGCTTCAGGCACCCATATCTATAAGATATGGCCGAGGTCATGCCATTCCTTGTTCACAAATGGGCGCTGGCATGACATCTCCTGATAAGTCCAGGTACTGTGATTAGTTCGCTAAAAAAGCACCCTGTGAGTCAACATTGGTGCAGGTTACTGAAGCATCCTTCATTCCACAAAGACAACATTTATTTGAACTTCTTTTTCCAGCAGGGATAAATTGTTTGGAGCTATCTTCTAGAAAAGGGTAGTTAGGAGAGCCAGATTTCAAGGGTATTTCTCTCTCTAAAGGAGCTCTCTGGGGGGGTTGCATCCGTGCGGTGGGTGTCATCTCTGACCATCTGGGCTAAGCAAACCAGATAAGAAGCTGGCCGGCCATAAATCGAGTTTCCCACTCAGGACATTTGTGGAGTGTTAGTTGTAGAACCCAGAGGAGCTTGTTCCTTCTGGTCTTTTTCTCTCAGTCCCTGGGAAACTCAGCAAAAAAGTCTGCCTGCACAGATATGCCTTGGACTCTGCCTCTGGCAGTCCATCAGAGGGCGAGACTTCTAAGGCCTGTTGTAAGAATTTCTGCTGCAGATCACAGAGACTTATGCGCTGGAAACTGATACCAGCAGCACCCCAGCTGGTCTTAACCCCCATGAGAGAACAGAAGACCAGAGGTGACTTTTTGCATAACTGGGTCCCCATCCATTCTATTTTAATTTCCACCTGGATGCGACCAGCGTGGAACAGAGCTCAGGCTTACCGCCATGAGCTCTCGGGCAGGGGCAGAGAATGGCATTCTGGATGTTCCGCTGTCCTTCGGTGGCTGGAAAAGTCTCTAAGAATGATAGTCTTGGAGCAAGCGAGGAGATACCAGTGACAGAAAGAGCAGGAGTTGGAAAAGGATGCTGGCTTGCTTTTGCAATTTCCACAACGACAAATGTGAAACTGTTTTGTTTACTTGTCCTAGAAATTAAGATGGAAGATGCCTCATAAAGTGTTAATAGAAAGTGGCTTATCTTTGGTGGCATCTGTACAGATTATGCAACCTTTTTGGAATGGGGGAATAAAAGTAAACCACAATCCCTGACAAACAAGGGTGGTCACTGTTGCCTGCGGGCACAAGTAAGCAAACACTCGGTGCTGAAACACAAGAAGAGGGTTGAATCTCCCAGCATCCTTTTCAAACACAGTTTTCTGAATTTTGTAAAACAAAACAACTCCACCCATTCATGAAGGATTGTCACTTTTGATAGGTTATCAAGAAAACAACTTCAAAAGCTTAGCATTTATCTTTTTTAAACTATTGTTTTTAAAATGATCCCTGGGTTGTCCATAATGGAAAATTTTTTTTCTCTTTCTTTCTCTTTTACAAAAATAGAACAACCTGAAACTCTAAAGGGGAACATTCTGAGGGAAAAGTCATTTAGAAAGAATTCCTTGTGTCCTTCTTAGTCTAACTGTTGGTCTGCATAATTAGACTTAATTGTTGTGAGGTAATAAATGTACTTCTGCCAGTAAGCTGCCCCCAAATCAGCAAATGCTGAAACTGCTTTTGCATTCGGGGTTGTTGTTCATATGTTTCACTCTTGGCTACTGCCCTCGTGATGGGTGGATAGCATGTCAAAGTGAAGTTTATTAAGTCTGGCCAAGCAACAAATACCAGCTGGCATGCACTTATGTCTCCATCGTCACACGGAGGTGAATCACATCTAAACTTGACTCTAACTTTTTTTCACTTTCTTGACTGAAATCTTGATTTCTTATTCTCTCCTCCCAAGTGGATGACAACTCTCTAATTCGACTGGAAACACCTTCAAACCAAGGAGTATGAGAAATTCTTTTGCAACATGCCCCCCCCCTCCTACCCCCACCCCATTGTCTACAACAAGTCTGAGTGTGTACTTGGCGTTCAATAATTATCGGGTGATCGCTGTTTGAACAGACAAGGAATCTCTCCTGTGAGTGGAATCAATGAAGCATTAAGTTGAGAGCTGTCAGCGCTGACTTAATCCACTGATTTGCCACTTTTCAGTTGGCCATTCGCCATGACTCGTACCTCGTACATTGCGTTAGCCTGCGCCCCATCACTGGGACCAATTCCAGGGGGACCACCAGACCAGATGGCCGTGGCTAGTATGCACAGCTTCGCTTTCTGCTCTCGGCTTTCCATCCGTAAATAAGCTGATCCTCTTAAATCTTCCTGATAAAGCCTGGAGCCGGGCCACGTGCTCCTTCCAGGTAAGTGTGCTGAGCGAGCTCATAACTCAGACTCTTGCCCGAGTGCCCTCCAGAGAACGCTTTTATTGGAGCGGGCAAGCGCTCCGGGCCCAGGAGATTTACGAGGCTTCAGAGACATAAACACAAATGGTGGAATAGGTGTGAGGTGTGTTCCCGCTGCAGCCTTCTCGCCTCCTGCTAACGATACGGGGAGGGAGGCATCGATTCAAAAACAGCTGACTGCGGGGCTCTCAAGTTCACGATCTGATGAAGACTTCTGGTGCCAGACCCGCTTTTTGGGGTTGTCACATGGCTGAGTGCAGCGGCTTCCAAAACGGGCTGCAAACCACAATATTGATACACTGGGCCCCGTGCCAGAATAAAGCCCCAGTCCAGCGGGCTGGGTAAGAGATTCCAGTTGCTCCATGAGCACCAGCGCATTGTCTGGGATCCCCAGGGCACAAGGGCACACACACACACACACACACACACGAAACCAGCACCAGACAAACATGGGGGAGCCCCTTTTTAATGCTGTTTTGGGAAGGGAGCCCGGGTTGGCCTGGTGGGTTAACTGAGTTAAGGCAAGCTTCGGGCGGGTAGAAGTTCCCCTTCAGGAACTGATTTGGCTCCAGCGTATCTTAATTTTATAGTAATTGTTGGCAGCCCAGGGTGGGGTTCGGTGCTGGAATCTTATCCTTAATTCTCCACCCCATCCCTGCCCCGGGGACTCTGCTGCAGAAAGCACGCCGAGAGAGCACTGAACCAGTTTGGGCAACGTATCAGCTTTAGTAAGTGCAAGGCTTCCGAGGAGAGCTGGTTTATGCAAAGTGAAGTTTCCTATCCCTTCCCCCTGAACTGGAGACAGCAAGGCTGATCCAATGTACCGGTCCAGTCTCAGGCTGGAACACTGAACCCCAAAGAAGTGGCTAGGGAGAGGCCACACGGAGTGGAGAGGAGGCTCACTCTGTGTGAGGAAGCCCAGGTCTATGGAGCGTGAAGCTGGAGCCATCTCGCTTTGGAGGTACCCACTGGTGACAGGCGTAATCCACAGGAGAGAAGTGAGCAGTGAGGTGGGGAAGAGGGTGCAGATTTCCTTACTGTAGAAGGAAGTGATGAGAGTATAGAAGTTTAGAAGAATGTCCCTACTTCCTTGGGCAGAGAAGGGAAGTTAGTCCATCCTGTCCATCTGGAGTTGTAAGCCCTCAAGACAGATGGGCAGGCAGATAGAGAACCTTCATGGAAGCTATGGGCAGGATAAGTGCTACGGACTCTATTTTGAGAACAGGCACTTAGGCAGTGATAGCCAGCCTTCGTGTAGGAAGTAGTGAGCATAGGTGTTTGGAAGCCATGGTAAGACACCCTCAATGATACAGATGAATCCAGAGGGATGATTTCACCAAAAACCAGTGTCCCTAAAGTCAATGTCCTACTCTACCTTTATGAAACCCTAGAACTCATTATTTGCTTTATTATTCTGCTTGAGGTTTCCTTTGGTAACATTAAAATGAGTTCATGGTCCCTCACACATTGTCTGCTCAAACAAGTGGCCCAGAAACAAGGTGGGGGGCCCATAGTAATGAAGCTGAGGTTAGAAAGGTACTTGAGGTTAATTACAAAATGGATAATCAACAGGAGACTTACAATGAGTAGGAAAAATTTGAGAAATATATTGTTATGTATATATATATATATATATATATATATATATATATATGTTCATAAAAACGCTGGGGAAATACTTTGATTCATTTAGTATGCACAATTATTTATAGATAGAGTGCATAAATTTTTAGACTAGACAAAACATGGTATAGCTTGTGATTTCATAAAAAGAAATATGCTGTTTGCTCAGGATATTTTAAGTCATTTGATAACACTCATGATGGAGGGTTATTTTTGTTCATTGCTTGGTTTATTAAAAATGTATTCAAGAGAAGAATTGAAAGCGATAAATATATTTTACAGCTGGAGAACACAGAAGAACCACATAGAAAGATGGAGCTCTTGTAGCATTGTTTATCTTTTTGGCTTCGTTTTGTGCAGTATCCCACAGCCAATCTTGGAATTTTTCTCTGCCTCTTTTTCTTTTCTTTTTTTTGTTTTGTTTAATTTTTTATTCTTTTTAATTTTA